TTTTATTTTCTTTTTTTTTTTTTTTTTTTTTTTTTTTTTTTTTTTTTGCCAGGCTTAGAGCAGCTTCCTGACATGCATGCTGTTTAGTATTCTGCTGAATAGATGATGAGGACCCTTCACAATCCACAACAGTGTGTCAATGTATAAATTCTCGTCTCTCCAATACTATATTCCCTAATCTCCTGCCTGTTTGGTCTCGTTGGATTCTCACTTCAGACCTCCTCAAGAATCCTTCAAGCTTTTTCTGAGTCATGGTCTAGAAGCTCTCTCAAGGCAATAAGCTGGGACAACTGTATGGGTCACATTTTCTCCTGCAGACTCTCAGTGTGTTACTTTTGTTGCCTAATGTCCAATGTCTTGAAAACCAATATTTAATATTTTCAATTACTTTGGAGGTTTGAGGTAGGTGTGCAAATCTTTTCCCTGTTACTTCTTTTTGATCAGAAGTGGGAAGCATTTTTGAGCCAAGCTTAATTTCTAGGTATAGTATTGACCTCCCGGGAAGACCTGTTCAAGCAATAGATAGAGCTAACTTTCATCTCTAAACTTACCTATCTGTATAGGTTGAATTAATATGTAGGGTTTTCAAGAAAATAATTTATCAGAGGTTCAGTGTACAAGGAAATTAGCAGTTTCCATGTTCCCCTTCTGTTTACTCTTTGTTCAACAACAGGATGTTCCTCTAAGTCTGGAAACCCTCCAGGACATCAGAACAGATGTTGCTGGTAAAGAATATGGTTTGGCTACTACTGGGAAAACTGAGAGAATGGTCAGGTTTCCTTATAACAAGTAAGATGTAATATCCCGAATATGGTATCAAAGATGGGTCATGATACATGATACATGGCCTGTATCAGTTCTTTGCCTTTTGTTGTAAGGAAAAGGGGAGCTGTTTTCAAACATTGCTTCTTCCTTAGCATTATTACATAAAAAATAGAAGCTAATTCTTCATTGGATGATTTACATATAGTTTAAATAATTAGGAATATATACATCCTTCTACTTGATTGAACCACTATATCTTGAGCAGTGTTCTAAACAAAATGTTTTGTATTTACCACTCACTAATATTCATATTGATGTTACATCTAATATATATATTAATGTTATATCTAGTCTATTTCATGAAAGCCATACATTTTTAAACTGAACAAAGCCAATATTTATTTTCACCCTTGCCAAAGCTAAAAAACAAAAAAAATCACCATTTAAATCACAATTTAAATATATTAAGCCAATAAAATTTTATGGTGCAGTTTTCTGTGAAGCAAAATTGTAAACATGATTTCTTAAAAATTATGTACACTTTCAGTTGTATAGTTTATTAGCTTTTCATAATATTCAAAAGCATTTTTTGAATAATCTGATCAATCTTATTAAGTAAGGCAATCTCAGATCAGTCACCTCCAGCTACACAATGAGAAGCATAATTCATCTCTTAATCCTCAGAGCACCAGACATTTTATGCCACTGTGATGTCCCAAAAATATAGAACCACTAAAATGTACTTTTCAAATTAAATTTTGATTATATGGCAGTCATAAAAAAGGTTGCTGATATATCATTTTATGAAATAGTAGTATTTTCTTAATGGAATTGTCAAAGTTGGAAAACTCACTTGTGTTGTCAAAAATTTTCCTGGAATTATTTTGCTTTGCAAGTGGAGTAAATTAAGCATTTCCTCCTTTTTCTCCACTTATAAAATGGAGACAATTCTACTCTCCCATTGTTAGAAACGATAATGATGTTCTTCACATTTTTTATTACTCTTCCATGGTTTGTTTTCCATAGATATCGTCTTGTTTAGAAATGTTTGCTATTCCTTACAACTATATAAAAATGATTCACCACACATATGGCAAACTTTTTTAAAAAATAAGATCATGGCCAGGAGCAATGGTGCACACCTGTAATCCCAGCAGCTCGGGAGGCTGAGCCAGGGGGATCACAAGTTCAAAGCCAACCTCAGCAATGGCGAGGCACTAAGCCACTCAGTGGACCCTGTCTCTAAATAAAATACAAAATAGGGCTGGGGATATGGCTCAGTGGTCAAGTGCCCCTGAGTTCAATCCCTGGCACCAAAATAATTAATTATTAATTAAATGTTTTTAATCCATATAAAGAATATGCTTAAAACTGCAAAATTCTAAATGTACTAATAAGTACATTTTTCCTCAGAAAAGCAAAATAATCACTTAAAATATTAGAAAAAATATCGTCAAAATATATGCATGTATGTCTTTTCAGTAGCATAATAAAGATATGTCTACTCCCATAATACATTGTTTGAATAGAATTATTTTGAATATGTTACTTTATAATTCTTTTCCTTTCCTTATAGATAGTTTGGGCTAAATCACATAAAGTTGGTTGTGCAGTTTCAATATGTCCTAATCTTGGCGGACCTACAACTTCAATATTTGTGTGTAACTATGGACCTGCGTAAGTTATTTTTCTATATAAAATGTTTATATTGAAATAAATGTTAATAAGTGTTTACAAAAAGAGAATCTTATATTAGAAACAAGTATTTTTTTATAAGTAAAGTCTCCCTCTAAAATACTAATAAAACAAGGTAGGTGAAAATAAAAAGTAGTAGTAGAACATTCTCTTGTATAAAGTAGAACTGTGTTTGTTATGGAATGTTTAAGCTTGAGAGTGAATAATGGCAATTGTTTCTTAAGTAATATGAAATAAATTGCCCAGTAATATCTAAATGCTGGAATGCAAAATGGTTGGCAGATGATTCTCTAATATAATATTAACATAATTGGAATGAGAAAATGATTGAGAATAATGGCAAAAGCACATTTTTCTGAGAAAAGAGCAACATACTTTTTAATACCCTCCTGATAATAACTTACCTAAGAGGCACTATAACATAAACATAATGGAAAGCTCCAAAAATGAAATTAGACTTTAATCCCTATGGATCTGTATAAGGAATATAAAAAGTTAATAACAAAGTTCTTCAACAAACAAAACCTTTAAAGCAAAATGTACAAAAGGTAAAAGTGTAGACAAAGAATAAACATACAGGATTGGCAAAAAGGGAGTAGGATATGCCAAAAATACTATGGAAAGATTATGTTTCTCTCTTTTTGTATTTTCTTCTACTGCCTCCCATTTAGAAATAAAAGCAAGAATGATAAGTACATTGAGTTAAATTTGGGGGCAGAGAACAATTTTGTAGATATCAAAGAAATTAGAATTTTATAGATATCAAAGAAATTACAATTATCAATATTTTCTCTTAAGGAGACTAATCACTGAATTTGAAAGAAAAATATAAAAATAATAGGAGATTAATGCTCAGTATTTGATTTAAAAAAAAGCTAAGTAGCATAATGTTGCTTTGAACAAATTAAGTTTTGGGATCCAAACAAATATGTTCATAACAGATTTCTTATTGGTCTTGTGGTAATATTCGGAGGATGTTGTTACATTACTCCTGGCCAAGTAATAGAAACAACTATACTCTAACCCTGAAACAACAACAGACAAAATACATGAAGCGACAATTTTGAAGTCATTGCCTATCATACAACAAAAGATTGGCACATGGAGTGGGGGAAAGAGACAGAGGTTGTTAGATTCCAGTTGAAAAAACAGCTAAGAGTGCAGGGAAACTAATACTGCTAGAGTTCATGTATAAACATATTAGAGAAAAGAGAACACACACACTGAACACTCAACATATACTGATTAGCATATGTTTGTGAAGAAACTGATGAAGAACCCAGTAAAGAATTAGAGGGAACCATTCTGGCACTCATACAGGGAGCAAAGCAGACTGCTCCAATCTCCCTATCAATTCACAATAAAACCTGAAAGAATCCAAAAGTTCCCAATTAAGTGCACCCCAGAATAAAAAGATTGATGATTTATAGAAAACATGATATACAGGAACTAACACTTAACAGTGTGGGGCATCCAATTAAATATCACCAGGCATGCAAAGAAGCAGGAAAATTAGACATAGTACAAGGAGGATAATCAGTGGAAATTGAAATTAACGCAGAACTAACAGAGATTTAGAGTAGAAAGAAGACAAAATTGTTATGATTGTATCCCTTATTTTCAAAAACTAAGCAGATAAGATACTAAAAACAGAAAACTACCATGTCTGAGTTGAAAAGACAAGGTTCTTTTCTACCCTAAAGTTCTAAAGTTAAATGGAATAATTTAACTTGACTATGAAAAGTAAAAGACATATACTATAAACCCTAAAGTCACCACAAAAACTAAAAAAAAGAAAAGAAAAGAAAAACAAAACAAAGAATAATAGCAGATAAGCCAACAAAGCAGTTAAAATGAAGTCTTACAAATATTTTGATTAAGGGCTGGGGCTGTAGCTCAGGGGCAGAGCGCTTGCCTAGCATGCATGAGGCACCGGGTTTGATCCTCAGCATCACATCTGTCCATCTACAACTACAAAAAAAAAAAAATTTTTTTAAGTGTTTGATTAACACAAAGGAAGGCAGAAAAAGAGAATGGGAGAACAGAGAACATATGAGACAATAAAATAAGCAAGAAGGTAATAGACTTAAACCTAACTACCTCAACAATCACCTCAAATGTTAATGGTATAACTGCCCTAGTTAAAACGCAGAAATTATACAATTGGTTAAATTTGTTTAAAATATTTGCTATTCAGAGACATTTGTTAAAAGAATGAAATGACAACCAACAGACTAACAGAAAGCTCATAAAACATGTGTCAAATAAGGACTTATATTTATAACATAAAAAGCACTCCAATATTAAGAAAATTCAATTTTGAAAAATGAGCAAAAGACATGCAGGTGGTATATAAGTCACCTGCAAAATGCTCAACACTATTAATCGCTATGGAAAAGTAAAATCACAATGAATACTACGGTACACCTATTAGAATGGCTAGAGATGGGACATTCCAAGTACTGAGGAGGATATGAAGGACCCAGAATTCTCACACCTTTTTTATGGGTATTATATTTAAGGATTTGTGCATGAATGATTGAAATGTTCAAAGCAACTTTATTTGAAATAGCCACAAATTTGAACAACCCAAATGTCCATCAGTGGTTGAAAGGATAAATTGTGGCATATTCCTTAATGGAAAGTACTTATATTACTGTGTTTTTCTTTGTGTATTCTGGGTAAATAATACTTTTCAAAGTCTCCAAAGTACTCGAAGATTTTTTTAAAAAGACATTTGTTAAATGCATTGGCTTATATTATCAAAAATCAGGCATAAAAGCTGTGAAGTCTTCTTGATAACATTAACAAGTAGAACTAGATGACTATGGTATTGTTTTACATATATATATGTATTTTAGTCATAGGTAAACAAAATGTCTTTATTTTACTTTACATGGTGCTGAGGATCAAACCCAGTGCCTCATGCACGCCAGATGAGTGCTCTACTTTTGAGCCACAACCCCAGCCCCCCACCATTGTACTTTTAAGTAAAGCCATATAGTGTGTTCTCATTTGCAATTTAAATTTATTCCATTTACAAAGGAAGAAGTAATCATGGTGACTATTAAAAAAATTGTGACTATAACATGCTGATAATTGGGTTCAATCCAATTTGTGTTTTATGTTTAGGAATAACCTGTAAAGAACAGTTTTAATAGTTTCCTTTTATAAAAGAAATTAGCATAAAGTTGGGACAAAAGTTGGTTGCTATTTTTCCCTTTTCAACATTTATGATTTAGTGAGTGACCAGAACAACTTTTTCAAATGCACAAAATTTGAAAAATAATTGCCATTAGGGTAACAATTTTTTTTTCTCTTTTTCAGAGGAAATTTTGTAAATGTGGCCCCTTACACCAAAGGAGCACCCTGCTCCATGTGTGCTGAAGGAGAGAAATGCGTCAATAAGCTGTGCCGTAAGCATTAATAATAAAAATCATAATGTAACGTGGACCTGGGCAATTGGATGGGTCCTTTGCCTCATGAATTCAAGGAATGAGATCCAGGGATAAGCAAAGGGTAGAATAATAAGATTTATTTAAAACAGAAAAAGAGAAGGGCTCCCAAAGCATGGGAGAGGTTCCTAGGAAGCGTTCCACTGTCTTCTGTCTAGGGGTTTTTGTGGGCTTGATTTTTCCTCATAGTTGATTGGTAGGACAATACCTACAAATACAATTTAGAAAGGGGCCAATCAGCCAGGTGCTGTGCTGCAGGCTTATAGTCACAGTGGCTTGGGAGGCTGAGACAGGAGGATTGAAAGTTTAAAGCCAGCCTCTCCAATTTAGCAAGGCCCTAAGTAGCTTAGCCAGACTGTGTCTGAACTTTTTTTTTAAATTAAAAGGTAGCTCGGTGGTTAAACGACCCTGAGTTCAAAGAAAGAAAGGAAGAAGGAAGGGAGGAAGAAAGAGAGTAAAGAAGAAGTCAATAAACTCTCCCCTACCCTCTCCTCCCCTTCTCTTCCCTTCTCTTTTTTTCATCCTTAGCAAATCTGGAGAAGCTTTTCTAAGCATAATCAGCACAAGAAGAGGGGGAGGTCTTGTAAGAGGAAGTACTTTTTAGGGAATATTTTGTTGTTAGTTGTGGTTAGGGGTTATTAAGGGACCATCCTTGTGGATAGGACCATCTGGGGCCAGGTGCTTGATTTTTCAATCTTCTCTTTCTCCTTTTCTTTACCAAGACCCATTTCCTGGCTGCCTGGTGTGGTCTGTCGTCCTGTCTCAATCATATTCTATTTGAACACTAATGTTTCCAAAAATTCATTACATTTAAAAATGTCATCCTTACAATTTGTAATTTATGGATGAGATTTGATTGTTTCTATAAGGTAATAGAAATCAATCATCATAAAAAATTATATTTAAATTCTGATGATCCCTCCCTTCTTCACTGATTATTCTTCCTTTCAAGCTAATGGACAGAAAGAAATGAGTTACTACTGTGATCTGGTTTTCTACTGCACTCAAGTATTGGCTAAAACGTTTATTTGCATTTGCTTTCATACCCCTTCTCTAACTTATCAGAATAGTGACTCATTCAGAAGTAAACACTAATCAATGTCCTTAATTTTGACTTAAAAATCATGTGTTTCTCTTCCATTGTGAAGTTTTTGGTTCTCAAAACAAATATCCTTTTAAGGGTATATATGTAAGTTCTTGGTGGAGAAAGAGATAAATATAAAGATATATATATTTAACATATATAAAGAGATTATATATAATATATAAAGACTATATATATTTAGAATATGTAAATATTCTACATATAAAACATAGATATGTAATATATAGATATTATATATAGTATCTTCTATATTTATATTTTATATATGTAATATATATTATGTGTATATATATATATATATGAAAGAAGACAAACACAAGGAATGCATATTGTTCCATATGAAATCTAAAATCAGGCAAAATTAATCTATTTTAAAGTTGGTATAGTGGGTACATACACATTTGGAGAGGAAAGAATTAGTGATTAGAAGAGGACATCAAAAAGATTCCCTTGGACCTATGCTGTGGTTACCTAGGAAAGTGCACTTTTAATGATACATCAATCTTTCCTATCATAAGATATGAGGTTTTTTTACATTCAAATCATACTTCAATTAAAGAATGTACTAGAAGTGAGTTCCTTCTAATTTCAGATTTAATTGGAAGCCATTTTTAAAATAAATTGACTGTTTACTTCCTGTTTGCAAACTAATGCTTCCTAGTCGATGGAATATGGACTAGATACATGCATTTATTCACTCCCATTTCCTGCCCAGTATTCAAGTCACTGTTGTTTCTTGCTAAAACTAGCGTAGTCACCCACTTCTTCCTTTACTACAAACTGTTTTATACAAAGAAAATCAAATCAAATTAGTTCTTGTCTTAAATCCCTCATTACAATGAAAGAAAAATCTAATTCTGTACCACATGACCAACAAGTCCAAGCGTGATCTGGCCCGTGCCTCTTCTCTGCTCTTATATATTTTTTTTTATCTTCTCCTTGAAACAGACACTAAGCTCCATTATCACCACCCTCAAATATTCCAACTTGCTGGGAGCCACCCTGAACAGGATCTATGCACATACCTTTAAGTCTTGAGCAAGGAGGTACTGGAGTGGCATTCCATCTATTGCAATGCATGTGGACTTATCTCTGCTCAGAAAGGTGCCCTTCTGGAGTGGGCGTTACACACTGGAAGTGGGCTGCCTCCTTGTTCCTTTGTAATACTACCCTTCCGCCTAATTTGGACAGAATGTTCCATTGAATAGTTCCCCCCATAAAAGCCAAGCTTCAGGGCTTACTCCCTCTCTGGCACCAGCCTCCTGGGGAGGGGGGTTCTCTTGCCCCCCTCCCCTTGTGGGAGCTTGCGGCTGGGGGCAGGGAAGCCGTCCTGAACACCCACTGAAAGGTATTTTGTGTGTCTGCGTGGTCATTTCGTGTCACACCAAATTCACTGGAGTGACCCCGGTTCAGTAGCCAGTGCTGGACAGGGGGCTACACCAACTTCTATATAAAACTCCATTATCCAGATCACTGTAGATCTGTTTCTTATGGCCGGATTGTATGGTTTTCTCCTGGTGGCAAACTGTCTTTAGAGATGATTATCAATAATCCTTTACCTCCAAAGCAGAAACTTTTTTTTCTCCTCTGGAATAAGGACCTGTATCAGCTCTGAGCCTAGCCTTTAAGAGATCTGACAGATCTGGCTGTTCCTGCAATAGAAGCCCACCCCTTACTCTGTTTTATATAAAGAAAATCAAATCAAATTAGTTCTTGCATTAAATCACTCATTACAATGAAAGAAAAATGTACTTCTGTACCACATGATCTCCCCCACCCCACTCCCAAACATGTAAAGAAATGCGTGTTCTCTTGCTTGGAAAGGCAATTTTGAGAAAGGTCTTAGAGGAGGAGGGGCTATATTGCTGTTTCAACCCCAGCTGTGCTATATGTAAACACAGCCCCAATGTTGGCCCCTGATCATGCACAGCATAGCAAAAGAAATACCTAGCAGAGTGAACCAACCAATCCAAATGACTGTGAGAAACGATAATAAATTGTTCTGGTTCTAAGACATTAAGTTTTGGAGACATCTGTTTGACAAAAGTCGATAACAAACATTGTCCACACCTTGTGATTTGTTTTCATTAAGCATATAACACATGACAAAAATATAGAAGTTTCTACGTTTTTCTTTGCTGAGTAGACAAGATTCAGGGTTGTCTTGGTCCAAATGAAATTTAGTTACTGCCCAGTTAGAATTTATGGAAGGCTTGATTTAGACTGCCTCTGCTGTCCCTGCTCCAGGAGTGTAAACTTCCACTCATTTCTGACAACCAGCTGGTGGGTTTCACCCATGCTCCCTCTCCAGTGGGTTCTGGACTCTAATCCTATTGAAGGATTATAAGATTGCTGAAAACTCTGCTTTGCTTTCCAGACTCTTTCAGCCTCTTGCTCCTCACACCCTCCAAATTAAACAAATAAGTACAAATGGGTATCCCTTTGGCTCATTTCCCTCATCTCCTCTTCCCATCTGGCCCTTGACCCTTCAGTTCTCTGAGCTTTTATCTGTTTAGGCCTTCAAGCAGAAACCCAAAATACTGCTAGTTTCTCTGTTTCCAAAAATTGGCCTCCACCCACACAAAGTAAAGATTTTCAGCCTTAAACCTAGGCCCAGAATCAAGAGGGTCCCAAGGAGAAAGTTGCTTTCATCATACCATCTCATCTCTGTATAGATCTCCTACTCTGAAATTTCAGGCCTGTTGCTACAACAAATTTCTGATGCTCTTAAACCGTGTTTTGTGCTGAGGATCGAACCCGGTGCCTCATACTTGGGAGGCAAGTGCTCTGCCACTGAGCCAGGATCCCAGCCCCTGTATTTTCTTTTCCATTTTCTAGTTGCATTTGATGAGTACTTTTTATTAGTGCTTTATAGTTATACATAATAATGTGGTTCATTCTGACATAATCATGCCTGCAGGGAATATAATTTGCTCCATTTCAGGCCCTAGTAACTTTCTTTTTCCTTCTTCTCTTCCCTCTCCTGTTCCCCGTCCTCTACTCTGCTAGTCTTACTTCTATTTATTCATTGTTGCTGTTTTTTTTTTTTTTTAATTGATGCTCTATAGATATACGTACAGGAGAAATTCTCTGTGATATATTCATATATGTAGATAGCACAATTTGGTCAATTTCATTCTAAAGAACTTCCTTTTTCTGTCTTTCCTCCTTCCCCATTTCCTTTCTCTACTCCCCTGATCTACCTTCTATTTTCATGGGATCCATACACACCCCACCCCCACTTTTTTTGTCCCTTATTTTGCTTTAGCTTCTGTTTATGACAGAAAACTTTCAACCTTTGACTTAAGTCTGGCTTGATGAGAGCTTTTGTATCACAAAGTACTTTATCCGGGAGATGTCAGCCACCACTGACAACAGGCTCCAAGACATCACTTATAGTCTGCAAAGGCCAAGATAAGCTTTTTGATAACTGGTTGGGGGTGCTTTCACGGCATGTCTTTTTTCCAAATTATTCAGAAATCATTTGACTATACTTGACCCTTTGATGGTGCAAATTAATTTTAGGGAAAGCTATCAATTCTGAAGAACTGATTTTGATTAGAATTGCCTTAAACTTGTAGAAAAATTGGGGAGAAGTTATAGATAAATTTGAAAGAATAAACATCTTTACAACACTGATTATTTCCATTAAGAAAACTGGCTTATTTAGATTTTTTAAAATGTCTTTCAGTTAAGTTAGAAATTTTCTCAGATTTGCTATTAAAAATATTTTAAATTCCCTAATTTATTTTGAAATTTATAGAAACATAAATGTTTTTACATATTAGTCTACTCTCCAGGAATCTTACCAAACTCTCTTATTATTTCTAATAGCTTATTGATTCATTTGGATTAG